GCCCCCAGCTCCCCCTGCACCCCCCTGGGCTCCTCCGTCTGAGATCGAGTCCTGGTCACCCCCTGCTTGGTGCTCAGCTCCCCGGGGATGCCTCAAGCCCCAGTGCCTGTCTCCTTCCAGGTTATTTTGGGGTGACAGAGGTGGGGTCGTCCCCCACCCCCCAAAAATGATGTCTCCATCTGAATTCTCCTTCTTAGCTCGTCCTTATCAGGTCCCCGATCACGCTGGTGGTGTCACAGCGCGGGGGGCTTTGGGGGTGGATGGGGTGCTGAGCTCAGGGGGTGGCCAGGCTCCATTGGCAGGCACAGGGAGGAGATTTTGTAAAAAACAAAACAAAACAGAAACAAAAAACTTGGAAAAATAAACATTTCTGTGTCTCAAACTGCCCAGAGCTGGGGTCCAGCAGTGCCAGCTCATGGCACAGAGGGTGGGAGGAGGGTTGAGGACATGGGGAGAAGCCATCGTGGCACTGCCTGTACCCCCCCCCAGTGCTGCTGCAGCCCCTGATGCCCCCCCCCTTGCTGCTGGGGCTCTGCCCACACCATGGGCACCCTGCGTGGCAGCCTGGTGCCGTGCACCTCCCCTCGCTGGGGTTGAAAAGCGCCCCCAAACCTCTCCAGAGCCTGCTGTGGTGGGTGCTGCCCCTCTATCCCATCGGTGTCCCCCCTGGGGTGGGCTGTGGGGGGGGTCCCTCCGCTTTTCCAGCCCTGGGACATGTCAGCGTGTCCCCGAGCTGGGGCATGCCACCCCAAATTGATCCTGGGGCAGCCTCTGCAGCCCCTCGCTGCCCCCCTGTCCCCTTGAGCACCCTGGGGACACGCTGCAGCCCCTCCGGCTGCATCCATCCCCTTCCCAGCTCCATCCCAGCCACGTCCCCCCTTTCTCCCCGTGGGTCCCAGCTGAACTCGTGCCACATGGCATAAAACAGGCCATGGTTGAAGCCAGCAGTGAATTTTGGCTGGGCTTTCCCCCAATCTCAGCACTGGGGGCACCTTTGTACCCCAGGAGAAAGCTGCGGGGGAGCTCAGCCGTGCGCACCAGCACTGCCCCGAAGCAGAGCGATGTGCCCCAAAAAGACAGCCGCTTGGCTCCCTTCTAAACATCCTCAGCCACCCATTTAAGGTTTTCAGCTTCCCTTTGGTTTCTTGCCCCGAAATCAAAGGGGAAAAAGCAAGAAAAAAGCTCGTGAATTCCAAAACTCCACCTTCCCAGGTGCCAGCTCCTGGCCTAGGATCCGTGATCCGTAGCCCCCAAATCCTTCATCCCGTGCACCCCACTTGGGAGGGTCACCCGAAAATGAAGCCGAAATCCTCCACATTTTGCTGCCTTGCAGCTGCTGTGCTGAACAGCCCAGACTGAACAAATTACCCCAGGTAAGTCCGCAGCTGAGCCTCTTGGGGAGCATCACAGTGATCACAAAGCTGGGCCGGCTGCTTCTCCTAGAGCTGGTCCTGGAGACACCGGGGCTGGAGTCAGAAACCCCCAAATTAGCACTTTTTTTCAGAGCAAACTCACACTTTCTTGGCACCAGCCCCTCTCCCCGTGGGGTAGCACCGCCTCACCCCATAAGCATCCCGTGCAGGGGAGCACGGAGGAGGTGATGGGGCAGCTCCTCGGCAATGTTACCTTTCAATATATATTTTTTAAAGATATCAAAAGCCCTTTTTATAAAAAAACAATCAGAAATCAAGGCTGGAAGCCTGAGCCTCCACTGCGCAAAGAGGTATTTGCCTTTATTTTTAAAGCACGTTTTATTTTTTTGAAAGAAAGTTTATATTTCTAAAGGTGGTCTCATTTTTTTTATTATTTTTTATTTTTACTTGCAAAATACTTCCTCCGATGTGGTTAATAAAACCATCCACAACTGTATTTTTAATGGGATTTTTATTTTTTTAAGACCATTCAGAACTTTTCAAAGGCTGCGGTCAGCTCCCCGGAGCAGGGAATTCGCTCACGGTGTACATAGAGATTGAGGATTATATGGGAAAAAAAAAAAAAGGTAATTTGAGCCTTGCTGTCGCCTGTCGTTGGGTTCTCTGGTGTGTAATAAAGAGCGATCACTAATTGAAACCCCTTCTGCCATGGAGTCATTTAACACACACGTCTCCCACATGGGTTAATTTGGGTTGCACGCCTATTGCAGCCTCACAGGGTGCTTGGTTGTTTTTTTTCCCCACTTTGCAATAATGAATGAAAGTGCTGGATTCTCTTCTTTTTTCTTTTTTTTTTTTTTTTTTTGGCTAAATTTGAACAAAATTTTGGCTGTCACCAAGCTGCTGTCACCATCAGGTGCTGGGTGCCCAGGAGCCACCACGAGTGCTGGTGGAGCCGTCGCGCTCCTGCATCCTGGGGATGCGGAGAAAAACGGGGCACAGCAAAAATCCCCCCAAAATCCCCCAAATCCCAAAATCGTGTGATGTGAAAGCTGGCGGCAGTGGGGGCTGGCTCTGGCTGCTGGCTCCTGTGCAGGGATTTCGTGTTCCTGGACTTTTCCCTTTTCACTGGGAAATGCACCGGGACTTGGCACGCCAGGAGCAAAGCCGTGCGCAATGCAATAAATGGCAGATTTTTCCCCAAAAGTGCATCTCTGGGGGTACAGCAAGGCTGGAGGAGGGACAGCCTGGCTCCTCACCCCTCCATAGGGATGGCAGCTGCTCTGTGATGCAGCATCCCCTCTCTAACCCTGACAACGCGCTGTCCCCAGGGTGGGTGACGCCGGAGGGGACGTCGCGGAGCCACCGGGCGCCTGTGGCCGACGCCAGCCGGGAGCCAGGAGCAGGGCAAAGCTCCTGCGAGTGCCATCGTCCTGCGATGAGAAACGGCTCCTGCGGGCCCTGGGGGAGCGGGCAGAGGCGAGGCGAGCTCATTCCTCCCCTGCTTTGCTTCCCACTTTTCTCCTCGCACAGTCACCGAGACCTTTAAGTCTCCGGAGAGGAGCTTGGAGGAGAATAAATCAACCCCCACACATCGTGATTACCTCCGGCACCGGCTGAGATAATGCTGCCAGCTGCTGGGGAGCTGGGAAAGGGATGGATGCAGCGTGATGCTGGGAGCCTGGGCTGCCCTCGGGGCTTGAACATGGAACAGAGCAGCCCCCAGCCAGGTGGCATTAAGGGAAAAACGCCCCCAAAGCTTGAGGGGACCCATTGCTGTGAGTTGGAGGGTTATCATGGAAAAAAGAGGTAGCCAAGAGCCTCGGGAGGTGGCCAGGGCTTGCAATGGGGTCCTCCGGGGTGTGCCCTCGCTTCCCACCCACCTCCCCAGCTCTCTGGGGGCTTTATTCCAACGCAGATCCTTGGGGACCGTGGCTCCTAAAGATCTGCAGTGGGCACTGGGGTGGTCACAAGGGGTGACCACGAGCGTGCAGGTGAAAGTGGCACAAAAGGCAAAGAAATGCAAAGCCCTTCTCGGCATCGCATCCCCTTCGTCCCGCTCAGATCCCAGGTGCATCGCCGTGACGTTGGGGATGAAATACGGGCGCGTTTCAAAGGCATTCCTCGGGGCTAAGTGAACCCAGCTGAGAGCTGGTGAGCGGGGATCGTAAACCGGCAGGCATCTTCATGCTGCGGAGGCGGAGGGAATTTTATCTCTTTTTTTTTTTTTTTTTTTTTTTAATTTTAACTAATCCTGACTGGTGCTGAGAACCTGCCTTCCTGCACCAGGGAGGGAGGCTGGGTGTTGGGTTCCTCTGTCTGTAATAGAAAGGTGGAAGCTGAACCTGGCTGAGAAAGGTCCTGCTCGGAGGTTATTGCAGGCTCTGCCCCACCAGGACCCCCAGACGTGGCCAAGGTGAGACTGTGGCAAAGAATTTGGAGCTATCGGTGGCTTTTACGTGAGCTCAGCCCTGCGGTTTGGGGGCTGTGACGCATCCTCCTCCTCCCCAGAGCACCACAGCCAAACCCTTCAAGGCACCAAACGCCACTTTTTCTGTCTGTCCGTTCCTTTATGGTAAACGCTGCGTTGGCTCTGTGCTGGTAGGGGGGGAAACAGCAGCTTTTGGAGGAAAACAGCCTCCAAACCCACAGCACGATCCCTGCCAGAGCGAGGAGCAAATTCCAGCTCCGGAGCCATCGGTGGGGCTGGCAGCAAAACGCTTCTGCCAGCTGGGGAGATGCATTTGGAGCAAACCCGGCACAGCCCAGAGGGCAGCCCCAGGGCCCCCCAGCACAGCCCCTCGCTCAGATGGTGAAAGGCAGCTCCTCTGCACACATCGTGTCCCATCCCTTGGCTTCGTTTTTGTGCTTGATTACAACCTGGCAGCCGCTCAGGCAACGGCTGCAAGAGGAACCAGCGGCGGCGCAGGCTGTTGCAGCAGCATCTGCAGCACTGCAGCCTCCAGCAGCTCCCTGCCGTGGGTTTGGGCACAGAATTGTTTGTTTTGGGGCTCCACACGAGGCGGAGGCTGTTCCACCTTGTCTCATTTCATAGCATGGACGTGGGCCAACCCGTGCCAGCAGGACTTTGGGGCAGGGAGCAGCCCATCCGCATTTAATTTTCTCTCCCAGTCGCAGCCAAATCACCCCAGGGCAATGCTTGTTCTGCAGAGAAGTCGTCCCCCAGCCCGACCCCATGGTGCTGCTGCACTTGTCTCGGTGGGAAGCGTCCCTGCCTGTGTCGGGCAGCCAGAGCCCCGTTTTCCCCCAAAAAAAGCATCCTCCTGGAGCACATGGCCAGGATTATGGCTGGTACCTAACGCAGTGCTTGGCCCTGAGGGGAAATAAAATCACCCCAGGCACAGATTTCCCAGGATTTGGGCAACTCCTTGTCCCTTCTGGGAGCGCAAAACAAAAGTGAAAGCAAGGTGGTTTGGGCACGACACCTACCCCGGTCCCCGTGGCACCTTCCTGGAACAGATGCTGCTTTAAATGCGTTTTCTGAACAGAGCTGGATACAGAAGGGAGTGCTCCCCGAGCGCCTTTGATACCCTGATGCTTTAATACCGTGCAAGGAGACGTATTTATAAATAAAAGAAAATGAAACATCCACCCGACAAAGCAGACTCCAAGCAAGAGCAACAGTCCCCAAAGGGAAGATTTATCCAAGGTCTTTCAGGACAGACAATTAAGTGAGGGCAACGCGAGAAAGACAATAAATCCAGGGAGACAAATGAAGGGCAAAGAATATCACCCCTTACAACTCCGCCAGTCTTTCCCCCCCAGCAGTTTCTGCTTCTAGCCTCATTTTCTCCTCCAGCAGGAAAAGAAACCATTTTAATGTGCTCAAGACTGTGCTGAAAGCCGTGAGCTTGGGGGACTTCAAACATGATTTTTTTTTTTTTCTTGCCTGAGGGCTCCATCCCTCTTTCCCCAGATGATGTCTCCTGGTTAACAAGGGCATATCCACATCCAGCTCCTCCAGCGGCCTTTGATATTTAATAGGCTGAGTTCCAGTGGAGACCAGTACGCCGGCGCTCACAGCAGCCATTAGCTGCTTTACATTATAAAATTACAGCCCCATTGCAAGCGCTGGCTTAATTCACTTACGGGAGAGGGACGCAGCCTTTCCAGCTCCGCCGTCGCTTCCCCCCGTGGCGGTTCCCCCCTTTTTTTGTTCTTTGCTTAGCAAATCCTCCTCCCGGTACTTCCCCAGCCCAAAGCGGGAGCTGCTAATTGGCACCCGAATACCGCTGCAGGTTGGCACAAACCAGATTATTATCTATTCAGCCGAAGGATGCTTTGCCTCCAGGCAAGCTCCGGAGCCTCTAGGGATGAATATTAACCAGCAGCGATAACACACGGCGAGCACCACGCTTGCAGGGCACGAGGGATTTTGCAGGGAGGTTTTTCATTTAGAAGGGAGGTCTTTAGGAGCTCTAAATGTCTTTAATTCCTCCGTTTATCATGGGAACAAAACTCCTGCCACGCACTCTGCATAAATAAAGGGGTCTGCAAGTGAATGAGCAGAGCTGGAGCTGCCCATCAGCCCAGCCGGGCACCGGTAGCACCCAGTGGGAACCAGCCCCGAGTCTGGGGGAGGCAGGGAGGGGACCCTTACTCAAAAGCTCTGGATTTTGCCCCAAGGCAAAACCGCCTTCAGCTGGGCAGTGACAAAGCGCACAGCTCTTCGGCATGGACTTCATCAGCGTGGTGTGGAAACTTGCAGGCACCCATGGCGAAAGCCACGCTCTGGTTGTGTTTCTATCTGGCTCTGGCACCCAGCGGTGGTGTCCGCAGAGCCTCGTCTTTTGGGACCATGCACAGGCCCCCAAAACGCCCAGGGCTGCAGAGTTGTGGTGGTGAGGGGGGCACGGGCTTGCTCTGCTCGGGCTGTTTTCATCCTGGTTGTCCCCAGCGAGCTCTTGGCGAGGTTTCCAGGAAGACAAAAGTTTCAAAGTGGCTCATCCCGAAATGAATTCCTGCTGGGAGACGGTCTCCATCTTCAGCCGCTGCTTGCACCCATGTCCGTGGAGCTGGCCTGAAATTCAGGGCTGTTAAATGGCAAAGCCCAGGGTCAGCGGTGCTCACCGAGGGACACCGCACACAGCAGAAGGTCCCCGACCACCTGGGCATCGCTGGGGCCACTTCCCAGGCTCGTGATGTGATTTATTTTGTCTCAGCAAAGCCAGCTCCTTCCCTTCCCCTCTCCGTCTGCTCTTTCAAAATGTGAGGCTGGGATGGAGAGGAGAATTTTGAACCCCTTCTCCAGCCCTCCCCACCTTCACGGCCGTGATGCAGCCACAGCTTTGGGCACGGCTCTGCCGATTCCCCAGCACTGAGCTGAGACTCCTTAAGGCCAACCAGGAGCAAAAAATGGCACCTAAGGAGTGTGTGCCGGACTCAGCCGAGTGCTGGCAGAAAATAAGAAGAAAAGTTTTTTTTTTTTTTTCTGATGGGTAGCCCTTAGTGGAAATGAAGAGTCCCTGCTCCTCTTGTGGTCGCTTTTCCCAGAGCACCAGGAGGGCTCTGAGCCCAGCATCGGGGCTGGCACCAAGCAAAGATTAACTCGGTGGTGCCCGAGGAAAGCCTGATCCTGCCTGGGGGGCAGCGGGGAGCTGGGATCCAGCGGGATGAGCTCAGTGGATCCTGGGACAAGCTGGGATCCTGCCGCGAGCTGGCCAAAGGGGCCACTGGTGAGGCTGGGAGGGGACGCGAAGCCTGCGGCAAGAAGAGCGCCCAGCACCACGACAGGGCTGGGAAACCCTCAGCCCCCAAACGCTGCTGTAGGATCCTTCTCCTCGCCTTACAGCAGCGTGGGCAGGGGCTGGGAGGGTGCTCGGGGGCGGCTGGATGGCGCTGGGTGCATCCTGCCAGCAGACAAACCTCGCCGCCCCGGCGTCCTCACCGAATATATTCCATTCCCTGCGTCGTGTGCGGTGTGGGAAACCTACAGATCCCAAGGGGTGATGGAGCCCATCTTATCTGCGTTGCTTTAGGAGAGGGAGAGGAGCAAGCCTGGCCCCAGGGCCACCGAAAAAAGCTTTGGGGATGGCTCCTGAGGTTCTCTGAGGGCCAGGCCAGGCTCTTTGCACGGCGGAGCAGCAGCCGTGCTCGGACACCCGCTGTGGGGCTGGCTCTGGTCTCATGCAGTTTTGACACCTCGGCATCCCCGGCGCGCTCAGGAGGGTGCAGCCTGATTTACGCACCCCCCGGCTTCCCCGCGGGAGGATAAATCAGCTGGTGAAGCCCTTGTTTGAAACCTTTCGCTTGCCTGCCCCAGCCCAGACCCCGCTAAATGAGATCAGGGCTCCGCCGCTCGGCCCCCTGCGACTTCCCACCGGGGTTTGGGAATCGCTCCCTCCTCCGAACACCGGCCTTGACAGCGCCTGGGGTTTGTTAAAAAGCAAATCGCTTGCACGTGGAGCACGAGGAGGGGGCGGCCGCCGCGCGCGGCCCCCGGAGGAGCGAGCTGGGAGATGCGCGGAGGATGCAGGAGCGAGGGGCGTGCGTGCAGTGCCCTTGGCGGAGCTGCGATACGTACCCCGGCTCAGTGGGACGCGGACATGGACCAAGCCCCTTCCATCCTCCAGACGGAGAAGGCGTAGCTGAGCCTCTCGTGGGCCAGGTAGTTGCAGCTGGTGATCTTGTGGTCCAGCTCATCGCTCTGCAGCACCTGGTACAAGAAGTCTATGTAGCGCGCGGCCAACTTGAGGGTCTGGATCTTGCTCAGCTTGTCGGAGGGCAGCGTGGGGATGATCTTCCGCAGCTCCGCGAAGGCGTCGTTGAGCGACTGGGTCCGCTGGCGCTCCCGCACGTTGGCGATCACCCGCTGGGTGTGCACGTCCTCGAAGGACTGCGGGACGGGGCTGCGCTTGCTCCGCTTGCCCTGCAGCGAGGGGGCTCCGCCGTCCTCCGCCGGCTTGCCCGCCTGGCCTCGCTTGCGCAGGCATTTCTTGTGCAGCCGCTCGCCTTCCTCCTCGCTGGTGACCAGGCTGCCTTCGGGGGAGTCCAGGCACATGCTTTCCTCCTTCATCGTCTCGGCAGCCACCACCTGCGCCCCCCGGGACCTCTTCCACCGGGCAGGCGAAGGGCTCGCGGGGCTCACGGGGCGCGGAGGACGCGGCGCATCGGCGGAGACGGCGCCCGCGCGAGAGGGGCAGCCCGGAGCATCCACCCTTCGGCCCCTCCGAACTTCCCAAGCCTCGCGGAGCCCTCCAAGGAGCTCAGTTGGTTTTTCCTTTGGGCGACGGAGAGGAGGGCGTTCGGATAACTTTGGGGAAAGGCTCTTGCTGATAGGGCGAGGAGGACCGGGGGCGGACCAGGCGCAGACCAATGCAGCAGTGCAAGGTAACGCAAACATCAGTGGAGCTTATGGGTTCCAGATTTCCTCCCTCCCTCCTCCACCGACACCCCCAAGCCCTCCGGCACAGATGCTCCTGCCTGCCGCCCGGATGTCAAGGGACATTGCCTATGCTAATGTTGAGCACCAGCCATGGAGTTCAAGGAAGGCGGATTTATTTTTAAGTCTTTTTTTTTTTTTTTTTTGAAAGCCAAGTTGACCCTGCAAAAGCCAGCCAGAAATATTGATCTGTCCAGCCTGGAATCGAAGACTTTAATCTATGGGAGGTTCAAGTGGAAGTGTGGAGCGATGGATGTCTCCATGAGCAACGCGGGGCATGCTCTGAATCCAAAGGAAGAAGAAACCCTGGCAGGCATCCATGCTGCTCTTCAGAAATGGCACAACCCAAAATGGATTCGAGTTCGCTTCCACTCGCCCATCCATCCACTCATGCAACCATTTTTCTTCCTCTGCCTCCAGTTCTGGCCGTCTTACATAGCCCTTCTTGTACAGAAGTGAACCCATACTCATCCACCACCATATTCCTCTGAAATAAATGTTATTATGGGAGAAGAGAGTGTGCTGGAAAGCATTCGGCTGCTGAGAAAATGCATTGAGGAGCTTCCCAGCAGCATCTCAGGGCTGCAGAGCCGGGGTCCTGCACTCCCCGAGGACGCCTGACCTGGGAGCTGTGCACAGCCACGGAGCAAGGAGAAGACGTGGAAATGTCAAAGCCTCGTGGTTCAAGCACTCAGCCAAGAAGACGATTTGGCTTCTGCAGTCACTGGGATGGGGCCACCATGGAGAGCGAGAGGACAGCAAGATCTATAGGGTCAGTGAGGCAACAGCGGGGTGAAATGTGGGAATTTGCGACTTGCTGAGTTCAGCCTCGTGTTTCGGCAGCGACTGGGTCATAAATCCGTCTCCAAAGGCACCAGGCTCCCTCTTGGAGATGCTTTGGCCTCTTTGCCCACTGCTGTTTGGCAGCTACCATAGAAAGGAGGATGCTATGGGTCCAGAACCCGCTCCTGGCTGAATCCACAGTCAGTCCAGCCTCTGATTTCCACAGAAAATCAAGTTTTGCTATGAGGTGCCGCATCCTTTCTCCGCTCCTGAGATTATAGCCTCAAATAAATGACCTTCTTCTCCCCGCAGAAATGCCAGGAGAGCTGCATCCTCTTCCAGCCAAGGGTGGAGGTCCTGATTCATACCAAGCCATGCGATATAGCACACATCGACCCCATCCAAGCTGTCTTTGCTCGTCACACTCTCTGGACATTGCTCCCTGCTCTTGGTCATTGGGAGCTCTCCAGAGGAGCTCCAAGGTCCTGGCACGATGCTCCCTGGGGACCCTGGGGTTCACCCCCAGCAGCAATCCCAGCCCTTGCTAAAATTTGCTCTGTTGTTCCCTCTTATAATGGAACACACACGGAGGGTATTAGGGGAACAATCTTGTTTACAACAGTGTCAATAATTAATCAAAGTAATGAAAATAATGCCAATAAAATAGAAGTTGTTGAGTTGACGTGGGCCTGCACAGATATTTTTAAACTGGCTGTTGCCTTATATGCATGCACATGCAATATATATAGCTTACATATATATATATGAAAATGAAAACAATATAAATTGTATATACAATATATATATTTACACATTTTCTGCAGCAAGTCGAAAAGCCTCGGTGGCTGTCCCTGCTTGCTCTCTTGCCTGCTGGTGCACCCAGCAAGGTGCTCGGGGTGCATGCACCTGGGCTTTCAGAGCAACTCTGCTTTTGCTTTCGGCTTATGGCCTTGCTCCTCTTTGGGATGGGGCTGAACAAGGGCAAAGAACTTGTCCAAATTTGCTCAGGGAAGCTAATCCCATTTGCAGAAGACAACCTCAATTCCATCCCAGACACAAGGTATTTTGGAAAAACATGCTCCAGAGACCATAGCATCCAAGCATCCAAGACATATCCATGTCCACCACCCCTCACAGCAACCCCCTTTTGAACCCCTTGGCATCCTATTTACACCCCCCCAGATTCTGCTTTTTCACCCTGGATGAGCCATGGGGATGTTTTTCTCTATTTTGAGGATTTCTCTGCTTGCACATCCTTCCACAGGTTCCTCTTCAACAACCTCCACGCTGGACGGGGTCCAAATTGAACACAAGCCTCGAAGAGACACCTCGACCCCAAAGAGATGAGAAGGTGAGTTTGGTTTTGGGAAGGCTTGGGCTCAGCCCCATCCTTCCTATCGGGCTGGCGAGAAGCTGATGGGGATTCCTGATGGGATGGAGCCCGGGGGCTTCGCTCCCCAAACCAAATCTGTGCCGGAGCTCTGCCAGCGGGGCCACCACTCAAAGCCCTGCTCACACGCGAGCGTTGTCAAGACAGCGACTAATATCAGCTGTTCCTAATGCGAGAAGACAATAGATCACAGGGGCCTGGGAAAGCGAGAGAAAACAAAGGGCGAGAAAAAAATACCCCAGGGAGGGCAGAATTTAGGCAGGATCCCGGGTCCTCTGATCCCGCGCTTGAAGAAACTGGCTGAGCTCTGGAGGAGCTGGAGGGCGGCCAATTAACACCAGCTGGGGCATGGGCTTGTGCCTGGCTTTTATTTTTTTATTAATGTTTTTATTGTTTTCCTTTTTAAAAATAAGTTTAATTCAATTTCGCTGGCGAACGATCTTGGGCAAAGGAAGTGCAGCTCGGTATTGTTGCTGATATCCTTGAGCAAAAGGATAAATACAATGAGCTTTGATCCGCGGGAAGGATCAGCTGCGCACCCCGAGCTGCTCGAGCAGGCTTTTTTACCCACATTTGGATGTTTTGTGGCGAGAGTATTTTTCCCTTAAACATTTCAATTTGTTCTTTCAGTGAGTGTTTTTGGAAGAATATTAATATAAACTTCTCATGAAAAGGTCACGAGTCACCAAACTGGTTTCAATAACTTTGCTTTTCCAGCTAGCTGGGGGTTTTATAGCACTCATTTTGACAGATCAGTAAAAATTTCAGACCCTAAAAAATGCGGAGAGAGAAAGAAAAAAAAAAAAAAAATCACAGATCTCTTGGTTCAGTGAGAAGCCACCAGATGGAAGAAGGTTTGGATTCCCACCATGTCCCAGCTGCTCTGCCTCTGCTCGTCTCCCTCCGGGGCCCCCTCACTGCTCACCTTTTCACTCCACTTTTCCCGAGTGGCTTTTTGGGGTGAGAAGGGAAGGTTCTGGGGTGCCCGCAGCAGAGCCGAGCCCCATGCTGTGGGAAGAAGGGTGATGTTAAAAGGGAAAGCAGTGATGCTGCTGAGCAGGCACTTGTGTATGGGGCGAGGGGGACGTGGGCAGCCTCAGTGGGGCTGCAGGAGCTTTGTTATGGGGTCGAGGCTTGAGCTGAGCCTTCTTTAGAAAGGGGCTGAGGTGTCCCCTCAGAGCTGTGTCCTTCAGTGGGGTTAAGAGCATGGCTCAGCCAGCCCGAGCCTGTTTTTATCTCTGCTGCTGCCCGCGGATGCTCCGTGCCAGCCCTCAGTCCTGGGGGAGGATCCAGCCTCCTGCTTGGCACAATGAGCCCGGACCTCTGCATCTCTTCACCATCACCAGCTCCCCAAAAACCCTTGGGGATCCCAGCTCCGTGATGTCCCTGTGGGGACCGAGCTTCTCCCCCTGCCCTACAAGGGAGCCGAGCATCAGCACGGACGCTTCCCTCTTTTCAGCAGCCCTTGCTGGGGTCTGATGGGTCTCCTGGCCTCCCTCCAGGTCCAGTGGGCCACGAGGAGGCCGGCCTCAAGCTGTGCCAGGGGAGGTTC